CTTGATTGATGATGCAGGATCGCACCTGCAGAGCAAAGGAAGGATATCTGGAAATATTTTGAACCAATAGCTGATTAATAAAAAAGACACAATTCTTTAACTGCCAACCTTTTTCATTCAGTTCACACGTTTTGTTTTGTTTTTGGTTTTCTTTAGCACAAAGCAACTCAGTGGTGGTGAAAAGCTAAACCTGACCTGGTCAATGACAATGTCTAACCTGGTCAACAGCAAGCATTTTAGGGTTATTGTCTAACTCGGTGTTAATAATTCCCAAATCCATTATTTAAAACTAATAGGTTTATTATTGTTAACTAATGTGTTATTTTAGGCCAACTGTGCCTGTTGCCACAGTAAATAATAAATACGTCAGTCCACTGAGTCTGATTTTTGGTGGGAATACTGCATGAAACCTCAATAAACCACATTGGTCCATGTGTTCAGTTACTCCCAGTATTCACATTGGTGAGTAAGTTTTAATCGAGGATATATGACCTTTAAATTTGAAAAAAGTGCACTTGCTTAACAGGATTATGTAATAATATACAACTGGGACAGAGTGTAGAGTCAGTTCTGTTATGGTGCCCTTGGAACAGAGAGGGTTAAAGACACCAAACAAATCCAGGCTTGATTTATTCATTTGATAACAAACCAAAGTGAGTTTTAGTTTTAAACCAAAGAGATGTTTTAGTGTGACCTGCAAAGGTTCACAGATCTAGAATCAGTGTGAAAGTGCTACAAAATGTTGAGTGTTAGCTTCCTACAACAGCTGCAACTAAAACATGATTGATCCAAACGCTCTACGGATAGGATTCCCCAAATCTTTATTTTGTGAAGTTCACATTTTAATTCATTTATGCTAGTATTTTAATGCGCCATTGTGTGATTGGGTTTATGTGACCATACCACGGGATCCTGTGAATATTTATATTTGCATGTTTTGCATTTGGGTGTTTGGTTACCTATTTGTAAAAGCAGATTTTGGGGAGTCCCATTTCACAAATTTGTAATTATGTCTGAAACTGTATTTTAATGCATTGGTAAATAAAATAAAGTTTAATCAAAGAAAAAAAATAAATAAAATGAAATTTATATATAAAACATGAATATAATGAGTTACTTTGTAACTTTGGTACATGCATTTTTGAGACCTCGACATCATCAGTGTGTTTTTTTCCCCCCTCTTAAATAAATTGCATGATACATTTGATGGTAATGAATTGCACAAAAATGTGCAAATATGATCCAAATTAAAACTCATATATATAAATTTGTCAGAAGATTCAATAATACTTATACTACTTATACTAATATTTTCTTGCTGTTATTTCATGGTTCAGGCATTACAGGGATAGCATATTAAACAAACTGAGTCTTCAATTTAAGCTAATTAAGCTTATTTAGACTAACAGAATACTATTATTTTAGCAAATCAATGCAACCATCCATCCATTCGCTTCCACTTAGCTTTTTTCAGGGTTGCAGATGGGGTGGAGCCTATCCTACATGTCTTAGCGCGAGAGGCGGGGAACCCCGTGGACAGGTTGCCAGTCTGTTGCAGGGCTAACACATAGACACAGACAACCATTCGCACTCACAGTCACTCCTGCATTCACACCTATTGGCAATATAGAGTTACCAATTAACTCATCCCCACTAACTGCATGTTTTTGGACCGTGGGAGGAAGCCAGAGTACCCGGGGAGAACCCACGCAAACTCCACACAGAAAGACCCCGGCCTGATGGTGGAATTGAACTCAGGACCTTCTTGCTGTGAGGCAGCAATGCTAGCCACCGTTTGCAACCATTATGGCAAAAACAAATTGTTATTGGTATCTATCGTTACACAAAATTTGAAAACGATGTCTTGAAACTGTGGATGCTAGACTGCTAAAAAACAGGTAGACAAAGGGGTGGAGAACTTGAAATCTAGAAAAGAAAAGCCTACAAACTAAAGTGAAGTATCAGTTTGGACAGCTGTTTACTGCTTTTTTTTTTTCATTCCAAGAGCTATTACTGGAATGGCATTTCATGTAACAACCAATTGATAAAGCTTTAGCGATTACTCATCGTTGCCAGGGAACACCACTGTTAAATAACTCAAACGTGCCAGATCTGTCAGCATGACTGGGGCGTTCTTGTGTGTCTAGACTTTTCACAGAAAAATTAAATAGAGTCCCATGCCTGACCAAAATCCTGGCTCATTGTTTGGAAGCCAATAACATGGTGGCTTCGCCTCGGTTTACCTGTGATCTCAGGCGCTGCTCAGTCACCTCTGCCTGAAAGGCGAGGAGTTCCACTCATTCTTGTGTTTCCTCTTTTGTGGTTTTTTCCTTCCTTCACAGCTTCATCCTGAAGGATTTCTCAGCTGAGCTGCAGCATGACATCAAGGAGCCAGAAAAAGCTCTCCAACACATTTAACTGGTCCTCGCCTCCAAAACCACCACAGAAGAGAATAACAGCCATGTTTTTGTCATGCCTTCGCCATTACTTCTTTATTATTGCTATTTTCAGAACCGAGCAGAGCATGTGACTGGTCATCTGACGTTTTCGTAACTTGTTATTTGTATGTGTGAAACAACAGCGTGCAGGCTTTGGGGTAATTACTGTTTTACAAAGTTTAGAAAAAGTCATCGCTCTCCTCTCCCTTTCCTTTGAGGTGTTTTTCTTTTTTAATTGTTATCCTGTTTTGTTGTTTTCGCCCGTTCACATAAAATGACGAAAGCACTCCGGGTGTTGGCGTCGCGTTGGCGTCTTTGTTGTGTTTGCAGGGATATTCTTAGAGGTGCTAATGTCCTGTTATATCCTCCCTCTCTTCCTACGCTCTTGTCCCCTCTCCCTCTTTTTTTTCATTACAATATCCATCTGACTGCAGCCTCCAAGCCCGAGCACATGGCTGTCACATGCGTGCAAGCAGGGTTATCATATCGGAGCGATATAACCAAGAAACTGCAATTACAGACCAGAAAGCAACTAGAAGTTAGCTATGACATGACTGTGAGTGTTTACTGGTGTGTTGACCAGTAGCTACAGACTAATTACATATCACATGCAAACACAAAGGCTAATGGGATCTCTCCAGGTGACTCTTTTAAACAGCCACCTAATTAACACAATAGTTAATGATGAGGTAGATGAAGATGAATGTTTGAGTCAGATACCTGACTTGCTTAAAAAGGACTGTTTTGTGGTTTTTCTGTGAAATAAATAATAATAATGATGATGTTGTTATTGCACTGGTAAGATTTGTTTTGGATTTTTTTTTTTTGTAATTCGTAGTTTTATAATTTTTTTTTTTTTTTTACAAAATATAGAACGTTGCCACAGGAATCAGCATGCATAGTAAATCAACTACATAGTCCCTCTTTTCCGTCACCATGCAACAATTATCCTAGGCTACAACTAAGCAACTTCCACCACTTGTGAAAAAGATCTGAAAATTAAAAACAGATTAAAAAACTGAATCAAAAATCTGGGGTGGATTTAATGAATATGATATAATAAACTCATAAGTATAAAAAGGTGTGGCTACTATGATGTGATCCAGTAGTTTCTGAGGACTCGTTCGGGATCCTCTAGATGAGCGTTTTCGTATCCGCCATCATGATGTGATATGGAGGTTGAAACTGCTTGCTCATTGGTTAATGAATTGCCTCACAGCAAGAAGGTCCTGAGTTCAATTCCACCATCAGGGTGGGGTCTTTCTGTGCGGAGTTTGCATGTTCTCCCCGTGTTTGCGTGGGTTCTCCCTGGGTACTCCAGCTTCCTCCCACAGTCCAAAGACATGCAGCTAGTGGGGATAGGTTGATTGAAAACACTAAACTGCCCATAGGTGTGAATGCAGGACTGAAGGTCAGTGTGAATGGTTGTCTGTGTCTATGTGTTAGCCCTGTGACAGACTGGTGACCTGTCCAGGCTGTACCCTGCCTCTCACCCTAAGACAGCTGGGATAGGCTCCAGCGTCCCCCGCGACCCTGAAAAGGATAAGTGGAAGCGAATGGATGGATTTAGTTTTTAGCTAGTTTCTTGTAGACTTCTATAGGACAACTACAGCCATCACCTGCAGATAGACTTTTGGATTGGTCTTATTTTCCCAGTGTTGAACTATGTTCAAGTTTTACATTGTCTATGAATAGACTTCTAGTGAGTTATGATGACAGCTGCCCACTGCTTTTCTTATCACAGGGTCTTCAATTTAGGGCGTTAGCAAATGTTAGGGTTTGTTAAGAAGCTGTCAGTTTACATTGGTATTTGTCATTTTATTTCCTTTTATAGTTTTTTTTATTAATAAAATGGTATTTTATAACACTAGCTGTGCAAATCAAAGGTAAGAATGTGTATTCTGGTAAGGCTGAAACAGAAGAATTCAAAATGAAGAGGAATACCCGGTTGCTCTTATTCTGGTCTTCTTGTAAGTTTTTTCCCTTGTCTCTGATCCTGTTTTGATATTGCCAGACAGGATCTAAAAACATAGACAGGTTGAGGAGAGTGTGTGTTTGAGCCTTGTTTGTGCCTTGAAATAGCATCCATGCTTTTTGGAGATGGAGTGTTTCTGCTGGCTTTGTCGGAGCATGACCTTTAGCGAACACTGGAATGATTTGCAGCTGAGTGTGAAATGTTTGGAAAGACATTCAGCACCTCCAAGTCTGACGCTATTGTTCCCGACTAGAAAATAGTAGAGTGCTCCCTCTGGGTTGGCAGAAAGATGCTTTCCGAAATGCGGATGTTCAAGCATCTGAGGATGTGACTTATGTGACTTCAATAGATCACATGATGGAATGGGGCAAGGTCTCACAGTGGTTCCACCCGAAACCTCTGGCAGTAATGACCCATGCCTATTTTCACGCCCTGACTCATGTGATGAGGTACATGATTAATAGTCAAAGGTACAACCCTCACTAGGGTTTCAATACTGGCGACTCTCCACTTTTTGGTTTTAGAATTGAAGAAATCTCTTGTATGAAAGCCAAAACACCTTCAAAGCACTTAAATAAGTCCAGAACACTTAAACCAAACACTTAAACCACCCTTTTTTCAAGCTATTTAGACTAACATGACCTGGATGACTGAGAACCTTACACAGACATGACTTAGGATCGTATTCAAGCGGAGAAACTGGTTCCGCTGGTGGATTAATATGCAAGTATTGTACTGGACAAGAAACAAGAGAACTGAACTGGAAGGCGAAGCTTTCGTTTTACCAGTCAACGTACATTTTAACCCATCTATGGTCATGAGATCAGGGTGACGATTCAGTAAAGTAAGGTTGCAAATACAAACAACCAAAATGAGTCATCGCCATAGTTCAGCTGGACTCAGCCATAGGGATAGGGTGAGAAACTTGGATATCCGGAGGGATCCCAGAGTAAAGCCACTGCTATGATGTCTCCTGGGTACCTCACTTTGAGGTTTTTCAGACACACCCAGCTGGGAGGGGACCCCAGAACCTGCTGACAAGATTATATGTTTCATCTGGCCTGGAAACGCCTCTCAATGCCCCAAGGAGTAACATGTTGCTGGGGAGAAGGATGGCTGAAACACCCTGCTTAGGCTGCTGCCACCAAGATGATGGATGGACTTATGGATGGATTGATGGATGGCATTGTTCTCTGCTGCTTTGCTGAAAATCAGTGACATGAAATGTAAAGTTCTTCCCGAGAACAAGTTTCTTTAAAATACACTGAAAAGTTCTCCAATGCCATGAGCCTGAAAAGTACCAGCAAACAAGAAAATGGTTATTTGAAGGCACTCGTGCCTGTAGCTCCAGTGGAAGTCCCACGTGTTGGCGGTCCCTACTGTAGTGGTTTTGAGAAGAAATCCAGAGTCAAAGAGGATTTAAATGCAAAAGCATCACATGCAGACATTGCAAGCTTGGATTGTCTGGCTGTGAACGGTTGACTTCTAAAGGCAGCGGTTAGGCTCATTTTGAACATCCTTTTTGGACATCATTTTGTATTTTAATTACAGTTTCCGTGCACATGGCCCTGCTGCACACACTCAGCACATGCAGTGACACTGTAGCTTAAGTATTATTGCACTTACCCGACCAGTGAGAAACAATTAAATGTTACTTAACAGAAAAACAACTTTTAGGAAATGCTTGATCTCTCATCAAAGCTTTTTTTAAAAATAGGTTTTATTTAACGTTGAAAACCTATGGAGCCATCATTTGAAAGCATATGCATCTCATCAATCTAAAGGATCAGTTTCACCTTTCCCTGCTGCACTTAAAGCACATTTGCTTCATTTCTAGAGGTCAAGTGAGGTTCTCTGTGGAAGTCCTCACATTCCTCTACCCCTCCAGCTCGGTCCAGTTTGTTACTTGACACTTTCCAAAAAAAGGAGGTACTTAATTGCAGGTCCCGTTTTTGTTTTGCTCTCTCTATCATTGTCGTTTTATTGATCATTTTTTCCCCTTGTTCGGCTATGTGTGCGCACAAGCGCATGTTTGCATGTGTGTCTGAGTGCACATATACAGTATGTGTGCATGTGTGACTTGTAATTAGCCTCTTGCTCTGGTCTGTATGGCATTTTAACAAATGCTTCTATATATATCATGCTATCAGGCTGAGGTTTTAGCAGTGTCACTCCCTGCCACTTTCTCCTCTTTCCATCCCTCTCTCTTTCGCTCTTCTCTTCCTGTTCGACCAGATCGGCCCTTGCCCTTCAGCCCCGCCGTGTTTTTTTATAAGCTAGTGGTTTCTCTGTCCTCGCTTTATCTCTCTCTTCCCCCCTAAAATTATGCCTCGGAAGCCTGTCATTGCCATGAGGCACCTCGCCGGACCAAAATCATAAACTCATTACATGTTTTATTTTCTTGTTTGTATAAGGCATGGCTATTATGGCTTTCCATATGTGTATGTGTGTTTGTGTGTGTTATCTGCATATGTGGTTTTAACATATATGGTAATACATGGTTCTTATGTGCATACATCAGGTGTACAAACCCTGTTAAATGATACCTTCAGCACACGCTTACTGATACGTGTGTGTGTGATGTGTGTACACATGTGTGTCCTGACCAGTGAGTGGGTTTAAGCGGTTCATTTATTTTCCAACTAATGTTTGAAATGTTTTCATGTGTGGTCGAAGGTGAAGTGGTGCCTTGGAGCGGTCACCCACACACACACACACGCACCTACTCACTCAGACACACACTCAGACACATACACACACACACATGCAGGAGGGGCATGTCCTGAGGCTGTCAGGGGTGTGTCTGTGGTCAGAGTGGCACTATAAGACACAGGCAGGTACACTGGACTTTTCATTCAGCTTCACAGAGTTGTGTGTGTGTGTTGTGTCTGTGTGTGTCTGTGTGTGTATGCGGCTGAGTTTTCTGTTACTTCTCTAACTTGTTTAACTATCTAAAGTGTTTAACAGCTTTTCAGAGTCTTAAACTTTCTAGTTTTTCCTTTTTAAGCGACTTTTCAAAGTTCCACCGAGCTCAGGGTGTTTAATCGAGCGTTTTTGCAGCAACTTTTGCACAGTTAAAAGAAAGTTAGGCAGTTTGACTTTGGCCCTGACTCAGCATTTGTAGCAGCACACACAGCATCCCTACTGAGTTGCCACAGCAACTGTGTCAGTCCACTGGAAGTCTGGGGTAAGTATTCAGCTTTGCTTTTCTCCTCTCCCTCCCATTACCCTTTTCACTTTTACAGCCTCCATCTTTCCCCAATATCTCTTTCTCCTGCACTTATTTCTCATCCTTTCCACTGCGTGTCCTTTTCCCCTTTATTTTTTTGATTTGCACATTCTAAACGCTTCTTATGTTTTTGCTTTTGTCAGTGGCTGTTTTACAAGCCCGTTCAGAGACATTCTGTCTGCAAGTTCCACCTTCTCATTTCTGAGAAAAAAGACTAAATCAGTCTTTGGCATGCAACAGAGTGTCACTACATGCACATCTGATATTTAGATTTCCAAGAAATAGTCTGATATATACAAAGAATTATCATGTATGAATCTGCTGCATGTAATAGGCTATGGATCCTCACCTAATCCTAGCCCGGTGTGAATTCACAGCCCCCACAACTGTGGCAACAAATCCTTTTTTTGTCAGTTGCGTAGTAACACCTCACCACATAATATTTCTGTATATTTTTATGGTGAGTTTTGAAAAGTTAGTCTCAAAAATGCATTTGTTTCTATAATATGTATTCAGTGGAATTCATTCAATTTATCACAGTCAGTCAAGCAGATCAGAAAGACCAGTGCAAGAGTTTGGCCTCTCAGCAGTATTTAAAAGTTGACAATACAGCAGACTTTGGCCAGAGTGTCAGAATACTATAATTGCAGCTGACAAACCAATAAGTTTGCATATAAGAGTTGATAAATGGGCTCAAGTCAAAGTTTTCCTCAGTCTGCACTGTAAGGTTTTATATAAATTTAGGTGGACTGTATTGATGTAGTTTCAAATGAGCTGTTGTCAGATGTTTTTCAGGTACAGATACTGCAGAGGGGATGACACTGACTTGCTACAATGCAACAGTCACCTGTGGCACAAAGACCTTTTCATTTATTCCTAAGCTTCTTAAAAATATCTGCTAAATAAAGCAGTGCAGTCATCCTCATTTTACCCTCCACCGTCACGATGCGTCACTTAGCTGTGATTGCATGGTTGTATGAAAAATCTTCTGAATAAAGGGAAATGCCCATCGCAGGGGCAGCACATGTTATCTAATGAATGCGGTGCAGAGTTAATCAGTGCTAAAAGTGTGCACGTGAGTACCTATGGCTCAGAAATAGCAACAGAAAATCCTCGGTTTGTACCCTGCTGTGCATAAAGAGGACATGATTCACGATAAATGATATTTACAGGATTCACACCTGCTCCTTACCTCCCGATCGCAGGAGCCACGCTTTTGCTCCGGATAAGTGACTCAGGTGTTTTCACGCCGTGTGAACTCTTGCGGTTTTGTGTGAGTGTGCATGCCTGCGCGGTGTGTGACATAATGGAAAGTGCTGTAAGGTCGTCAGTTTTGACGTGTCGTATTTTTCCATATCAGGCTGGGAAAAGTGCCGGCACCTTTTTTTTGTTTTTGTTTACAGCATTTAAAATCTCATAAATCCTCGTGAACTGATCATGTTTTATTATTAACCCCTCGCCTGTTCTTTCTTTAGATCATATGTACATAGACGAATACATTGAAGAAGATGAGGAACCACCTTTGCTGCTCAGCTATTGTCCTCCTCGCGGTAAATATACGCATGCTTTGTGAGCTCGGTTGTGTAAGAAGAAGAGTGTATCCACACGTGTGCCCACTTCTTCTGATTCACGAGTGTGTTTCTGTGTCTTCCAGCTGTTTGGCTGTGGAGGGACTGCAGCGGTGCAGTCTCGGTGTGGGAAAGGGTGTGCGTGTCTGCTATGCCCGGCAGGCCAGGAGCCTTCCAAGGTGAGACAACATTTTAATATTTTAATAACATTTGTATTGTTTATTATATATTTTAAACACTTTCACCTCCTTAACTGCTATAAATATGCTTGTTTCAGTAGGCAACATTTGTCTTTAATTTCTATATATATATATGTAGAGCAGGGGTGTCAAACATAAGGCCGGCCCCGACTAGACAGCTGTGCAAAATATGAAGGAAGGCATCGATTTTTGGACTTTTAGCTGCGTTATTTAAAGTTTTGCAGCTTTTCCTGCTAATAAAGACTTCCCTCACAGCCATTCATACTACACCAAAGTAGTTAAGTAATAGATAACAATTAAATAACAGAAAAGTTCCTGCTTTTCACTGTCTACTGTAAAGAACATTTTCATCACTCAACCAGTACTTTATGTCTTAGAAATATGGGACAACCTTTCCTGTAATTTTACACACTTCTTTATCTTATATTAATATATCTCAGGGATTAAATGTGTAGTTAAACTTCTTTACTCTGACAGAAAGTGGAGTTTCGCTCGATGTGAAATAGTGTAGAGCTTTAAAACATATTGGACCCAATACATTTCCACAGCTCGTTAAATTACTTATTCAACTCCCTCCGCCTGAGCAGCCACCTGCAGTTTATGTTCAAATCACATTTTCATCTCCTCCATTACATTATAGTCTGTGTATTTGGTCACTGCAGTTGTCAAAAATGAAGTTGTTCTTCTCATGAATCCATAAATATTGGCTGAGTCTTATAAGTGCTGCAATATCTTTATTTTATTTCCAGTTAACACAGAAGCAGGATTTCAAATTAAAACAGTCAGCTCTTTGCTACCCATCAACTCTACAACGCCACAGGGATACTACGTTTTCTCTTTAAGCCTCTTTTGCCTGACTTTAGACTTTTTCTTTTCTTCTCAGGCTTGTGGGGAGATCCAGAGTCCAGCTGAAGAAGTGCATTGCCAGGTGTGCCCAGCTGGAACCTTTTCAGACGCACTGGACTCTGAGGTTTGCCGTCCACACACCTCCTGTAAGATCCTCGGCCGAAAGCTTGCATCCTCTGGCAACGGGACCTCTGACGCCGTCTGTGGTCACTGTCTGACTGGGTGAGAACTCATGGCCTGAGTCTGTGGTGGTCTACCTGTATGCTTGCTAGTCCACAAAGAGGTCTATCCAACCACAGGGTGGACAATAACGCGGCTTTCATTCAATATTGTAACTCATAAACTTTTATTTGTTCTAAATTAAGTCCTGCAATTTTCTCTGTCTCAAAAAAGCAAGAAAACAGTCACACACACACACAAGCGCAGGGACAAACACAGTGTGTCATTCACCACAATGGGCGGGTAACATCAAGAACAGGCACCACTGGACATAACATGCCACAAGCTAAAACCGCTGATTCATTCTTTCACTGTTACACAGCCCCTCGTGTTTTTCTCTTCATCCATCTCTCTAATTAGGCTCTTTTTGGTTCTTTTTCATCCATTCACAGGTTTCACTCCTCTGCCGCTGGGCAAGTTTCCACCCAAAGTCCCTGCGTAAAAAGTAAGCACGCTTCTGCAGATTACCGTGTCTTAACTTGCTTTTAGTGAACTGATTTCTGCTATCACGCTGTCTCCTTCTCTGATCTTTTTCGCTCTTCTTCCCCTCTTTCCTCTCAGAAGGGTTGCATGTCAGAGTGGTCCGTAATGTGGGTAACGGTCAGTCTGGTGGAGCAGGAGGACCGGCCAACAGCACAGTGGTGCGCAGCGCTGAGGAAAAGACAGCAGAGTATGCCGTGTTTGCCCTAGTGCCCGTCTTCTGTGTGATGGGCCTGCTGGGTATCCTCATCTGCAACATCCTAAAGAAAAAGGGATACCGCTGCACCGGTGAGAAGGAGGGAGGAGATGAAGAGACTGCCACACCGCAGAAAGAAGGTGAGAGATGGGAAGGCTGCTGAGAGAAAATCACAGTAATGGGAGCAAAATAGGAAAGTAGCATTTAAGTTCAGGCTGTTGTCGCGTTTGACCATAAAAATGCCAAATTAGCACACTTGGCATGCACACGATGTGGTCAAGTTTCCCTGTCAAGAGTGAAACCAGCCCAGCTCAAAGGGCAGCGCCTTTGCATGTGCACTCAGTCCCCATATGTTTTTTATGTAACTGCACGCGAGTCCATGTGTGAGGCTGTTTTATTTCTTTTTTTCATCTTAGCTGCTTTGAACTTTGGCCTCACAGGGGACATTACATGCTGTAATTAGCTAAGCAGGTATTGTTTTAATGTAATGCTCCTATTTGAAAAGGTAAAGTGGGGCATTCTCGTCAACCTCTTCGCCCGCCAACGTCAGAGAAACGGACTTGCGTCAACGCAGAAAGCATAAAAAGAGTCAGGGAGGACAGGAGAAGAAAAAGATACAGAGGGGAGGGGCGTTAATTGAAAGAGACGTAGAAACGTAGAAAGGTTGTATGAGTTACCATACCCATTCTCTGTTGTTTGCATAATCTTGTTTGAAGTGCTTAAATGTATTTTTTTTCACCCTGTGAGCCAAATTAGCCCTTTAAGAGAGTACTCACTTAGGCAACGTCTTTCTTCCTCTTTCTCTGTGCACGCAACTGAGAAATGCACTCATTTCTTTCCTTTATGCTTCTATTGTACTGGATGTACTGTACCTACTAGGTTTCTAGTTTTCTGTAAAAGGTCACATGGGAGGCACACACCTCCAGGCAGCTTTTATTTTATTCAATTGTGTCACAAAACGCATAAAAAGTGTTTTGTTTAGGGTTTTTGGGGGGTGGTGGTGAAAAGATGCTGTGAAGAATGTGGAGTAATAATCAGTTCTACTTTTACAGATTGTACTTTTCTAGATAACCAGATTGCTAACCTGCATTTATGAAACAAACCACACACACACTAATGAGCTGGAGTGAGCTTGCCACACTCTACAGTAACCTACTTTGTGTTTTAATTTATTAGAATCCACTGTTGCACAAGTTCTGCAGCAGCCAGACAGCATACACGACACGCAGTTTGTTACAGCCATTTGGTGCAGATAAATAAGCAGACTTAAAGGCTAAGCTGGCTTTTCCTTCGCTCACCTGATGGTGCAAGGCTCTTAGGAAACCTGCATGGAATCGGGAGCGTCAGAGCGCAGCTGCACCCTCGGCAGATCCGACTGTGTGACAGCATGCCTCACGTCAAGTGTTTGTGCAACACCTGTTGTTTCATTTACAGCGTTTTCCATAACTGCAAACATGGTAAATGGCCTGCATTTGTATAGCACTTTTCTAGTCCCTAAGGACCCCAAAGCGCTTCACACTACATTCAGTCATTCACCCATTCACACACCGGCGATGGCAGCTACATTGTAGCCACAGCTGCCCTGGGGCGCACTGACAGAGGCGAGGCTGCCGGACACTGGCGCCACCGGGCCCTCTGACCACCACCAGTAGGCAAACATGGGGTTAGTATCTTGCCCAAGGATATTTGGCAGCCAGGAGGCAGCCTGGGATCGAACCACCGACCTTCTGATTAGTGGCTAACCTGCTCTGCCACCTTAGCTACAGCATGCAAACAAATGGTTATTTTTCGCTCACTTACTCCTTCTATTAGTGGTTCTTTTTGCATTTTTATGTGGCCTCATAGTAGGATGAGAAGTTTACAGCTGTAGCAGCCTATGTAGCTACGCCTGTGTAGTGGAGGCCAGGGTGATCTATGGAGGAATGCATGCGCGCATGAGAATAGCCAGGGGTCAAAGCAACAGTCGGTGCTCTCTGTGCTCTCTGCCTATTTGTTTTAGCATCACCTTGGTTTCTTTCTCTCTTTGCATCTTGTTGTGAAATTTAAGCCCTTCTTGCACCTGAAGGGAAACTCCCTGAACTCCATCCCTCTTCTGCTATTTCATCATTCCTTCTGCTCTCCATTGATCCGGTTTCCTGCCTCTCTAACATGCCCCTCTCTTCTCATCTGAACACGATACTATCAATTCATCTCTCCTTTCCCAGCTAGATCAATAATTCAATCGGGTACCTCGACTCACTGTTTATGTCGGTCTCTTCATTTCTCCTGTCCTTCCTTCTCCTCTGCCCTCTCTCCTTGATTCTCTGGGTTATTCTCGTTCCTTTTTTCTTCCTCTATCCATTTTTAAAATAAACAGGTAATTCATTTTTATATAGATTGCAGTGTTGGCATGAAAATCTGTATGCTGGGATAGTGGATAGTGATTTGCTTTTTAATTTTGCATTTTGCAAAAAGCATGAAAAAGCATGCAGAAAGCATGCAAGTGAACAATCTCGTTAGGACATAAAGCAGATAACAGTGGTTCATGTATGAGGTCCTCAGTGATGATTAGCAGAAGACCTCATGCATGAGGAAGAATTCCAACTTCAATATAAGACCTCTAATCACCATCATTGCCACATTCGACTCATACTTTAAGGGCTGATGATGCAGAAGAAGTTAGGTACAGTAAGAGGCTGCATATAAAGCAATGACAGCTCTCTTCTTGTTATGTAACATTCATTGTCTCAGTGCACTTACCTGTCTGCACACTGTAGTCTTGACTGGCCTAAGGTTAGAGGAACTTCTTACTCCAGCACTTTTTTCCATCATTCCATCTGAGAGGAAATACCCATGGGGGTAGCAAGGCCAAGCTTAGCTCGGCAGGGCTAAAATCAGATGCTGCGGTGGCAACTCTGACTATGCAGGACTGAGCACAGTTTGCTTCACTGGAGAATGCATCGACCTTAAAATCTGAGGGGGAACAGAAAGGGCAAATGCAGGGTTGATGCTACAGTAGATGCAACTCTGCAGTTGCTCAAGCATGAGTGCACACAGGAAAAGGTAGAAGTGAGCTGTTGACCGTTAACACAGAACTGCTGCATTTACAGTAAACCTAGATGCAAACATAATTTTTTTTAATCATAAGCCTAAACTTATGATGATTATTAAGCAAATTGAGACTCGTGTGCTGCTGTGATGTACTGTAATTTATGTATTGAAGGCTTGTTATCCATTAGATCTGCCCCTGGTGAGAAGTTAGACTGTAATGCTATTCATTGTTCTAAAGAAAAAAAGACCAAAATGCTGACATGGGGGAAACGTTTAAACAGATAACTAATCAAAAAAAGAAACATTAAAAAAATGTAAAGTAGATACCAACCAGAACTACATAATGGACTAAAATGTGGAATACGGGTAAGGAAGCAGGGCACAGATGGAAGACAATCAGTGAATCGTAGACGTGGTAGGACAAAGACAAGAAGAACAACCAATAAAGGCATAAGTAGAGGTAGAAGGTATTTCCACTATTAAACGTGAAACTTGATATCAGGCTGTGACTTTGTTGGAGTATTAAAGAGACGAGAACAACTGCCACCCCGTGAAACTGATGCTGTTATGCTCGCGTAGCAACAGGCACTGTGGAGACAGAGCTATTGTTACGGTCCAACAACAGCCTAATGCTGCTTATGCAAGAAAGACAGAAATACGCATGCACAGTCGCATTTGGCATCTATATTGTCACATTGTGCTCTTTAACACACACACATACGCATTGTCATCTGGTACTGTGGGCCTGGTACATCACACACACACACATACACACACACACACACACACACACACACACAGCTCAGCAGTGCTGAACAACGCATAACTGCTGAGTGAGCGAATCTCCCTCTCTCCCCTTTATCGTCATTGCTCTCCACTCAGCTGCCTCACTATGCTGTACTATTATGGGATGGTGAGTGGCAGGGGGCCATCTACATCCACCCGTATCAATCAGAGTGTCCCTTGAAAAGTGTTAAAAGTGACAAGCAGTGCAATAAAAGCAGTACATACATAAACAATACTGGAAAATCTCTGTTTATTAACATTGCTTCTGCCTTACTTTAGGTAACACCTGTCCCTACATATCCGATGACCTGAATGAAGACACCATCAGTGTTCTGGTTCGCCTCATTACCGAGAAGAAAGGTAAATACTAACAGTGACGTCACATATAATTTGTGCATTTATTTAACAGATGGCAAGTAGCCTAAAAATTATAATAAACAGCAAATGAGAGTTTCAGCTTTGTCCACAGCTTATTACTACTAAAGTGATAAATGGCCCAATTGGCCCAAGATATACACAGTAGCTTGGCTTTCCTCTCCAAGTTTCCTGCATCAATTACATCCACCTTATTTATGCACTTCTAATAAAGTCCTGAATTACATTTTCACAGGCAGGAGGTGTTTAATTACTCTGATCTATAGTTTGAGTAGCTGGCATTATAGCTAAATGTGTATATGTGTGCTTGCTTCAGAAAATGCTGCTGCGCTGGAGGAACTGCTGCTGGAGTACGAGACCAAAGAGATGGCTATGAGCAAAGGCTCGTCAATCAAGTACGAGACCGCACGCGCGCACTTGCACAACCACAAATCATCACATGCATTTGCTCAGTCATGCTGCCCAAGGTCACACTTAACGAGATGGCAAAGGGGAAGTCTGGGAGAGAGAAAGAGAGGCGCTCGTCAAGAGAAAAGTGCGTGTGGGAGGATGTATCGGCAGAAATGGGAGCAGTGCAGATACATTTTCATACGCTTGCACTGAGCATGGAGACCTAAACTTGAATTTATAGGGCTATAAGTCCACATGCTACTCTCATGTTAATATTCCAGTAGTTCAGTGTGGACATTATTAGTTTCATTTAAGCTCTTTAACTAAAACAAATGCTAAAACATTCACTTAGGAGCGCACATTATTGTGACTGTGTTGGCTACATTTCCTCAAGAGCCTGATAACTGGGAGTGACTCACTCACTCGCCGAGGCTTGAAACCAGCTGCTAACACAGTTTACAGCCGTCTAGTCATGAGTCTGTCACACAGCTTCAAGCCACGCATTTGATATGACTGAGTGCATTTTATGGTAAGAACCTGAGGTTGTAACATAAGCCAAAATTGCTCAAGTTCCCAGAGTTTAATCGATGAGGCTCGAGAGAATGCCACTTTATAACAGTCTGCACTGCAGGGCTTTGATTATTGCTTCGACAGTGATGCCACATTTACCCCAATCATAATTTGTCACCTGTAAACCCCACGAAAGACTAAATTAATGATGTGATGACATGATGAGCATTAGAGCTAATTTATTTCAGTGCAGACGTTTCTGGGGCCTGTGGCTGTGCACTGCTACTCAGTGGTTCTGTCACATGTGATCTTTACATGCCAGAACATTCTCTCTCTCTCACACACACACACACACACACACACACACACACACACACACACACACACACACACACACACACACACACACACACACACACACACAGATTATACAGACTGTTCTGGAAAGCTTTCAGATCGGTATCTGGATGCGTGTGGTGGGAGGTTTTGCACAGGTTATTTGGGTTCACTGTAGCTCTCCCATACAGCGCTCGTCTCTTTTGCTCTGCCTTCCCCTGCAAAAAATAAAAAGTGAACAATGAAAAGACACACAAACCAACAAGCTCTGTACCAACAGATGAAAACTTTAGATTTGAGTTGCTAAATGATTTTATATTGACACAGAGCAGTGATCGCTGCTGTGATTGGACATATTTATATATTTTGTGCCATATTCTAGCAGTGATTGTGTCCAGGACCAATATTAGGGATGTGCCAGTACCATGCTAGGATATTCTGGAAAGCTTAGTACAGTTTAGTATTATAACCAACACTTTTCTTACCATCACTAGTCTAAATGGCCTTTTTACAATCCTTCTGTAGATTATTTTGTGGTATTTGGATGTAACCTCCACTTACGATTTGTCTAAACTGAATATGTCAACATCAGTTTTTATTTTTTAATAAATCTAATTTTCCTCCCCCAGGTTCCCGATGCTGTCTCCCTTATCCCAATTCCGCTCCCTTCCCAGGCTCTGCCCTCATCAGTCTCACCATCACCACACCATCTCCGGCCTCTCTGGCCTGGCCCCCAGACATGGTTACCGCTGCACCCGTTGCGCCCAGAAAAAATGGCCCCCTGTTCTCATTCCACCCCTGGATTCTCTCAAAGATCCCCTGAAGCCCCCCCAGAGTCTCATCCTGCCCTCCCTGGACACATCCTCCGACCAGCAGAAGAGCCCCCTGCTGGGTGGAGAGTGCGTGAATACACACCATACACAAGCCGCTGTGCCAAAAACTGTACAGGAGAAGATGGAAGGAAGTGAAGTGAAGGAGAAAAAGGAAGGAGAGCTCACAGTATTGTCTGTAGGAAGGTACGTCCACTTTATAACACTTTACTAAATACATGTAGCTGGGTGCTGTTCACAGGCTTCACTTTGACATAGTTAAACTTTCCTGTAGCATTTAAATTTTTGTTTGCTGTTACTGAAAGTACCCAGCATCACTGACAATGATAGTATTGCTGGTTTTTACTGAGGTCATGGATTTGAATTGTATACCACCACCAATACAGTCGCACCAGCAAAAATAAATGAGCTCTCACTGGTTACATCACAGCGGCGATTTTCCAGGGTCGGTGTAATCGAGTGGCGTGAAGGTGGTGGAGGGGACTCAGAGGCAGGCAGGGTTGTGAAAGAGGAGCCTTTATTGTCAGAAAACAAAGTTCAAACAACAGGACAAGTTAACACGGAAGATATCTTGACTGAGGACACAGGAAAAGGCAGGACTATAGGTACACACAGGGGACTGATTGCACAACAGGACGCAGAGCACAGGGATTCAATCAGCAGTGGGTGAAAACAATGAAGGTGGGCTGGAAAATCACAGAAAGTAACCATGACGATGCACAAGAGAAACACACTTAAATACACTTAAAAAGGCACGAAGACTAATTATGCAGTTGATTAGTCCAAAAAATGAACCCCTTCCTCCTTTTTCTAATTACTTTTCTTTTACCTGCATGGAACGCATCAAGAGGTGAAGGGAAGGTATCAAGGAGAATTTATGAGGACAGAGGAGAAGAGAAGGGCAGTGCTCAGAAAATCCAACTGCACTTACATTAGACTCGTTAACAATGGGATGTCTGTGGTTTTTTGAATTACAATGGGCTAAAAAGAAGGCACCTTTGAATTCATCCCAAAATGTTCTCACTGTGTTATTCCATTTTTTGCTGGAGAGATGTTCCAGTGTAACTTCAGAGGCTTTCCTACATTCACAAATTATCCAGTTCTGGGTGTTTGTGGTTTGGGTTGAGGAAGGTGAGGGGGAGCCTATCTCAGTTGATCCCAAGTAAAAATTGAATTAACTGGAGACAAAGTCAGAGAGTCAAGGCTGAGATGGTTTGAACATGTGGACAGGAGTGATAGTGGATATATGGCAGGAGGAAAAGAGGAAGACTACAGAGAAGAATCAGGGATTTAGTAAAGGAGGAGATGGTGTGACAATTCTGCTGTTTAAATTTGAGAACACCTGTGTGCACCTGTGTACTGTGTTCACTAACATTTACATAACACACAGGAGGACACAGGTACTAACACGCAGACAAGGCAATGTCATAATAGGGTTGTTTTCTGAATGTAATAATGGTTATGTTATATGTTGATTCACAGATTTCAAGTTGCTCAGATCCCGGAGCAGAAGCCATGCACAGTGGAGACCAAGAGAGCATCCCAGGAGCAAAGGAACTCCTTCTTCGGCGGGAAGTCCTTCTCCTTGTCTTCCTCATCTGGCATCCGGAGGTAGGAACTCCAAACACAGCAAGAAGTTTTGGCCTCTCTTTCTATCCATGCTGTTTCTTTCTGTTTCATTTCCTCTGTGCACTGCCAGCACTTGAAGACTGTACTGACCAGCGACTGATGTAGTCTTGACAATTGGTTAGATTTAGTCAAATCAAATTGAGATTTATTTAAAATGACAAAAATATCATAATTAATTTTGTTTTTCATTCATGTTTGCAGGTGAAGGGACGATATTGCTACCTCGCTGAAGATGACCTCATTCACCGGCGACGGCTTGACCCGCTGAGACCAAGGGTGTTTTATTTAGTTGACTGACACCGGTAAACCACAACCACCTGCTGCTGGAAGTAGTTGTTTCTAATAATGCAATAATAGGAATATAACTGTATTTATTATTACATAGGCAGGTTATTGTATTATAGACGTATCGGATGCCGCATCAGAGGCATCACGGCTACATCCGAACAGAAACGGGTCGCGAGACGTCCAAGGACAGAGCGGTTAACAATAACTGACACTAGAAAGAGGGAAGCGTGTATTATACACAAATGCACTCCCGGACTTTTTTTTTTTTTTAAAAAGGAGTGCTTCCATTTAAAAAAAAGAAAAAACAAAACAACAAAAACAAAAATAATAATAATTTATAAGAATGCACCATAAAAAACAGAAAATCTCCGCCTATCAGCCTGTGGTTTGCAACATCAATGAGCATATGAGTTTTTTAGCACCACAGTTGGCTAATAAGCCAAATAAAAATAACAAATCTGGATCATTTGACACTTCATTATTTAAAAAAAGGTACGTTTTAAATTTTATTTTAATTTTATATATTTAAATAATTAAATATAAGTAATTTTGCTGACACCAAAACTGAGGAGGTTTCAGACCTCACTTGCTCACTCAGTTAAAACCTTTTAGAGTAAAAAATAAAACCAAATAAAAATGGCGAGATTTACATTTTCGGGATGTACCGATTTTTCTTTAAGAGGGGAACCTCAGGCTATATCAGAGCATTTTTAATGATGCCGCAGCCCATTGGCTCATTCCCAGCTGCTGTCGTCATTAGAGTGAAAGAGTAGTTACAGGGGTGGGTCTCGCTTTTGTAGAAGAAAACATGTAAATGTAAATATAAACATGTAAATATGTAAATATGGGTGGGTTTAGACAAACATGGCGTTTTGTAATTTTAAAGTATGCATGAGGTGATACGTTAGATCCCTTATAATGGGAAAGACAACTGCACTGCACCAGCGAGTGACATTTGTAGTTTATCATTTTAAAAAAAGGAAATAGTTAGAAAAAAACCCAGCAAATGCTACCACACTACCATGCATAAGCCCGAAGGCTGAAGTGCAGCATAAGTTTAACATGATATTTGTTATTTTTCTATCATTTGGGTGCAACATCTCAGTGCTTTTTCCTTCAGCTGTTACAGTTTCCTCTTCTATTCATGAAAACACTCTGTAGCTATGCAATCTTCAAAATTCAAAGAAACCACTTCTATAAACACACACACACAGACACACACGCACATATTTATTTATTTTTTTTATTTTATAGTTTAATTCAATAAACCCACCAGTGGCTGCAGAGAATTAGCGGTTTAAATGCCTCAGTCATGTGAGCTCAGTTGGCTTTAGTTTACATCCTCCTGGGTTTTCAAGCGTGTACTATAATGATAGAGGCTTTTTTTAACTGCTCATTTTCATATTTTCTTATTATGTTGTGACAAGGAATATGACAGCATGTCTGGAGGGAAGGGTATTTATTGACTGCGTTACATGTTTTCTTTTGATTTGTTTTTAGTAACTTTCTCACTCAGACTACAGTTATCATGAAACGTATTCAAGCTGAAGTGTTGCTGAAAAGAGGGAAGGATTTAAATATTCATCTCATCAGCTTTGTAGCATGCATTTATATAATATTGCAGTTTTTTCCCTGTATGATGTTTTTACTTTTAAAATAAAGAGGTATTTTAAATGCTATCTGGTTTGGTGTTGCACTGCTGTGTGGCTTTGTGGTGTCTGGAGTTGGTGAGTATGTGAGACTTGAGATTTGTGTGAGGCTAGATTATAAAATGGCAAAATATTTGATGGGATTGCTTGAACCATGATGAACTTGTGGGGGGTTGTCACCCCCTAGTGGTTCACTGTAGATTAAAGGGATACTTGAGTCTGTACTGTTGTACGTTACTATAAATTCCCTTCTTTTCCTATGGCTCCTTGATTTAAAAAATTATGGACACACATGGATTTAAATTAGAAGAAAAACATCCATCCATCCATCCATCCATCTTGCCCTATCCCAGCTGCCATAGGCCGAAAGGTGGGGTTAATCCTCGATAGGTTGCCAGTTACCACATTTTAAAAATGTCTTCTTCTTTACTACATGATTTTTACATCCTTCACATTTGTGACATGTGTTTTTCTCCGGGACATCGAGAACAAGCCTTAAATTTGCAGTGAGGTTGACCCTTGCAGGGAACACACGCATTCCTGTCTTTCATGTCAGAACAACGCTCACAGTAGAAAACCTATTAGTTCTTATACAAATATCAGGTGCTGGAAATTACTCATAAAATCAATTCTCTAAGCACACAGCTGTGATACGCCACGTAGTTTTCTATTTTCATAAATACACTATCTTTATACCCTATACATCCAAAGGCATTTAATGCATTAAGTCAGAAATCAAATACAATATAGACATTTATTTCTAATCTTCAGTCATCATAAATCTCCTTTGTCCTGATTTGCAATATTTTAACAATAAAACTAAACTTCAGGTTTTTCCCTTTCATTTGCTCTCACTAGGATTCTTAGCAAAAAGAAAACAAAAAATAGTATCTATAACAAAATATCTGTCTTGAAGTAAAATTAACATCTCAGAAGTGTTGCACCTGCTAAACTAATGACTGGTGCAAATTTAAGATTGAAAAGTGCTCTCTTGAAGAGATCTCATCTGTCATGCAATACTGTGTGTCTATGTAGGTTTTGAACCATCCAGGTGGCAGTAGCTTTGAGTACTTCTTTTTAGGTTCTTCTGTTCAAAAAAACTAATGGGAAGTCCCACTGGTGCTGTCACTTTGGAGGTGGTCCTGAGAGTCATTAACCTTCCTGCAATCATGTTTAATTCAATTCAACTTAAGTGAATATTATTTATATTGAACTAAAACAACAGTTGCCTTGAAGTGCTTTATATTTTAAGGTAAAAACTCTACATTAAAACACACAAAACAACAACAACAATGAAATGACCCACTATAAGCAAATACTTGGTAACAGTGGGAAGAAAAAACTTCCTTTTAACAGGAAGAAAACCTCAGAGCAGCGCCAGGCTCTGGGAGGGGCGGCTATCTGCCCTGACCAGTTGGGGGTGAGGGGAGGGAGACAGGACAAAAAACACAGTGTGGAAGAGAGTGGTAGATAAACATGCGAGTCTTTAACAGTCTGTTACTGTTACACAAGCCCAGGTGGCAAACAGTCACATGGTGTTAGTGTTGTGCTGTCAAGTTTTGGATTCCACTGTTTGCTTTTGGTGGCGGCAGTTTGCGCTTCTTAGTGAGATTGCTGCGGGCATCCTGCCCTGCCAGGAAGTAAAGGATGGGGTCCACGCAGCTGTTGGCACTGGCCAAAGGTCGTGTAATCTTGTAGGCCACACTGGAGGCTTCCACCAAGCTGCAGCTGATCTGGTGAATGGATGCAAATGTCATTCAGCGATCTTTTAGAGTCATCATAACATGTTTATTATTAAAGAAGTGCTTGTCCTCACCTGTGCTGGATTCACCTGCCTCATGTATCTAAAAAAGTAGTAAAGACTCCTGGTGAGGTGGAAAGGGAGGAAACACAGCATGAACGCTGCCAGCACGATGATGATCATCTTTACTGACTTCTGTTTGGACCTCTGGGCTGTTAAGCCTCCTCTTTCCTCTTCGGTTCTTGCTCCAGACCCCCAGCCAGTATCTAGAAGCTTTCTCACCATCAGGCCGTAGCAAACCATCACCACCATGAAGGGTAAGACGAACATGAGCACTGATACGACTGAGCTGTACACCAGGAAGTCATCGAAAAGCTCTGGACTGGTGGTGTCATGGCAGATTCGCTCGGTGTTCACGTCCCTTACAGAGCAGATAACAGATTGCATTTGTTTCGGATCTTTAAACGGCACTCCCCCTGTCTGGCACTCAACCTGAGTAAAAGCTTGGCTGTTCTTTTAAGTCTGTCCCATTAGGGTCACCTAAGATAAGCACAGTACAAAACTGGTGTGCCACAAAAGTCGATAGTCCACACTTAAATGCAATTAGAGACACTTTCACAAAATAAACGAAGACAGAGAAATAAAGTTACAAACATTTAATCACCTAGTTCTTGAAAAGTAGAGAATAGGAGCCTGGCAGAATAACACACAGGCCCACACTGCCACAGACACCAGCCGGGCCTGGCGGGCGCTGACCCAGTTGAGGGAGCGGACCGGATAGCAGATACCAACGAACCGATGCAGGCTGATGCAGGACAGGAACAGGATGGAACCTGTCAGAGAGAGAAAAATGAATGCTTAGCATGCCTTTTTCATAGACTAATAATTATTAGTATTACTGTGTCATTCTTTGTATTAACTAATAGATCATAAAAAACAAAACAAAAAATTTGTAACCTGTGGTTTGCACCTTGTTTGTAAACCCTCAGTGTTTATGTTCATGAAGGCGTCTCTTGCGTGTATAATGATATTCCTACCACTTAAGGCATTTTTTTTTTGACTTGGTTAGATGATGTGAAGTTGATTTTCTTAACAATGGAAATAATTCTGTGATCATCCACTCAGTTATTCATTTGGCTTCGCTGAGCTGACGACTGCATTTGGGCCCTCCTAAAGCTTTGTGTTTCTCTCTTATTTATTTCGGGTTTATTTGGGTTTTTCAGCCCAATATTGGCCTCTCTGAATTGCACTGACATCTAAGATTATGATGTAAACCTATAAAATACATCAAGGGAACGGCCCTCCCTCAGCCATGAGACTGCTCATCTGAATTAAAGCTGAAAGTCTCCACACACACACACACACACACACACAGACACACACACACACACACACACACACACACACTGTATTTCACACCTTATTGCATCATACTGCACTGACAAATAATGCATACTGTATTGCAGCATATTATCTTGCAAAGCTGTTGCTCTACAATAAGTCAAGCTCAGCTTTTGTACTGCGCTGTGTGAGTTTGTAGCTTTCCACAACTGTACCGTATAAATTGGCATAAAACAGGAAGCGTATAAGCTTGCAGAAGGGTTCGCTGAACGGCCAGTCGTTCTTGTCGGCGTAGTAGTAGATGAGGAATGGCAGCGTGAAGATGTACAGGGTGTCACACACTGTCAGGTTGAACATATAAATGGTCGAGGGCTTCCAGCGCTTGGTGCGGAACACAATCACATACAACGCAGTGGCGTTCAGCGCTAGGCCAATCACAAACACCAGGGTGTAGCTGACAGGGAGGAGGATATATTTAAAATCATCATTGAACTGACAGTAGCTGGCACTGAAATTGGTTTGGTTGGTCTTGTTGTTGTCAACGCTGGCCATCTTGATGCTGAGAAGACCTGAGGGGAAAATTGTAGAAAGGAATGAATTATCTATCTATCTATCTATCTATCTATCTATCTATCTATCTATCTATCTATATCTATCTATCTATCTATCTATCTATCTATCTATAGAGAGAGAGAGAGAGAGAGAGAGAGAGAGAGAGAGAGAGAGCGAGAGAGAGAGAGAGAGAGAGAAAACTATTAGGCACAAAGGACAAAGAAAATGGTTGTGATTAGAAGGATATGACATCAGTTAAAGAGGCCCTGAATCATTTGCTTTGGCATGCTTCAACAGCACAGTCCAGCATATCATGCCATACCAAGTATAGGCAAATAGCCAATTGCGATTGCACAATCAAATTAATATAATCCAGCTTGACTCACTTCATTTCTGTAAAATGCACAAGGACATTTCACAGATATTAGTTGTTGTTTTCTTTAATTGTGGGTGAAAGAAGAGAAGGAGCTACTTAAAACCATAACTGATAATTAGACTCTCCTGAAGCTTTTTTTTTCCATCCAAAAATATGAATCTCTGTGTAAGCGGTGGCTCTTAAACAGACAGTACAGTTCCTCCACCTGGCCTAAACAACACCGGGACACCTCTGAATAACATATCAGCGATGCAGAGTTTCAAAGTTTATTTCAGACACTGATTCACCAACTTATGTACCAACAACTTTTTTAGAAAATATCTGGTGCAGCTGTGGCCCACGGCGGATTAAAAAAAAGCATGTTTTGTTTGGGCATGGCAAAGTTGTCTAACAAACCCTCCAGCTGCAAGCGGCAGAAACAGAGGAATAACTTTTTAACTCAAACCAGATTCAGCTTGGAGAGTTTCAGTGGCGTGAGCTGAACATTGCTGGCTCACACAAACTCAGGCCCTTTTTCTGTTTATTTGACAAGCCCAAGTTCAGCCATGCAATACAATGGACAGAAAGAGCCTGAAGAAACAACATGCAACCTTATTAAATTCTCAGCTCACCGAGGAGTTAACCTGCAGCAGACCTTCCACCCCCTTCCTCTTTCTGATGTTGTTTTGCTCTCTCTGAACCTTTCTTTTTTCTCTCCTTTACTCTTCTAAACAGCCCTGTGTTAAATTTAATCGATAACAGACCCGAGCGTCCATATTTGTAGTTCCTAAGTTTTTGTGCATGCCATACCAAGTTGAGAAGAACTTACCTCTTCGGCAATAAATTCCTTTCTGCTATTTTCTGGTAAAACAGCCGTTCACAAATATCCCCCCCCCCCAAAAAAACCCCAAACCCTAAAAAACATATAGCTTATGAAGTAACTCACACTGTATGGGTGCTATTATCCTGACTATCCTGTCCAAAGTATCCTCACATTGTTGTTTGTGGTTGAATGTGTTCCTGGGAGACTGGAGGCAGTGAAAAAGTTGTGAAGACGTATGACTGTTTGACGAGTTGCGGCGTGTCCACAGTGAGCAAGCATCTGGGGCCTGAGGCTAATATGTTACATATATTCAGTAAAACCAACAGACACCTCGAACTGGTTAAATATTTATGTTTCTCACTTTGGTAAACCTAGAAAGATTTATATTTGAATTACTCTTAGTATTATTAAAATAAGAAGACAGATTTTTTTAGCATGAAAAAAGGCCTTAAATCATCTTTTATTATTAGAGCAAGAAATTTGTAACCAACAACTAAATGGGCATTTTGCTTAACATGCCACCCCCACCCCACCCCCCAAATTCCTTAGGAGGAGACATCAGAGGTGTGTCCAGAAGGAGGGTATGAGGTGGCACAAGCCTCAATCAGATTTGCCCTCACACCTAAGGCCTGATTTAGACTCCTGTGTGGAATCTTTGCAGAGACCACAACATAACCTACTTAAATGACAGACATTGTTGCTGGCGTAGGTGCTTGTGCTGGTCCACTACGTGTTAAGTACCTTTTGGTCATGCCCCAGTGTTTTATATGGAGTGCCAGCCAATAGAAACAAATCATTTGAACTTATTTGAAAATTCCCTCGGGTCAGTTTTGATAGTATCAGCAATCACCCTCTATGAGTTTGATGATAATTGTGGGTTCTTGATAATGTGACTGTTATTCTTTTACTGGTAAATTCAAAAAGTGTGGAGGAAAAGTAGCCAGAAATGCACATGGCAAGTTGGCCATACTGAGGCTGAGTACAATAGTTCTGGGTTACGTTGATCTGACGTGTAGTTGAACTTATTCACTCGAAATTATTGCTTTTTTCTTTCCTGTGCTATTGTTTTCTGAAGTTTTGGTTAGGCTACTTGTTAGTGGCTCCATAGTGTCTGGGTTTACACATTTGCCTAACAAGTGAACGATCACTGTCTCAGTACCAGGAGGACACAAAAATCCCTTTTAGGGTTGTGTCAGGACATTTATCTGGTGTGAAAATCTGCTAAATCAAACAAAAGTGCCCACTCCTTTGTCACTTTCCTGAATTAATTATTATAAATATGTAACAATTAACTAATAATGATCATGTAGCAAAGGGCATAAAACTTATTTCTCTCATACGCCACAATAATGGTTGTTAACCTGTGAAACTAACGATTTTTTGGATTTTGCATTAACAACAAGGGCTGTGGGCTGTGATGAAATGCACGCTGCTGAGCTTTGTTCTAATCTTAACTTTAGTTTAAGATTTAGGCGGTACACCACAGGGGGGCCAGCACACTGTATGCACACTTAAACACCAGTGGGAGCCACTCGGTAGTAAAATTCCCCTGTTAACACACCGATTTCTTGTTTTCTTGTTTTATGGGCACAGACACATAACAATCTCTTACCTCGGTAAGGCCAAAGGAATGTATGTGCAGAAGCCAAATTATAAAATAAATCACAGATGAAAACAATCCTTGCAGGATCCTAACGCAAAAATTACGATTCATAAGTGGGTGGCAGCCATTTTCCTCTGTTCCGCTGTTAAAAGGTTAGGTGTGAACATGAATGTGATTCCTCCGAGTGCGCGAATGTGTGTGAGAGTGTGTTGAAATATACGAGTATGATAGGTGAGGTAGTGTGCTTAATGTCTCACCTGCTCCAGAAACTTTGTAAATGAATGATTACCTGTACCTTAACCTTGAACATAACACGTAGGAGGCTAGAAGTAAAACGCTCACTTCCTCTGAGCTAGTTTGTCTTTTCCTCTGTCTTCCAAGCCAGCGGGATGTTCTCGCTCTTCACTCAAGCTTAATTCATAACAGCAAAGGGAACCCAAAAGTTCAGAGACACCATTTATCCTGTTTCTCCTGCTTGAAGAGTGTGAAAACTTTCCTTCTTTCTTGGTTAATAAGATCTATCATATCAGAGCAAATATGACCCGTCCTTTGGGCCGATGTCTTTGATATGATCTCGTCAGCAAACCCTCTTCTTGCCCACTTGACATTTTACCAACCTCACATGGTGAAGCTGTTCAAACAGGTCATTTACACCTCTGGGCTGTGTTGTTCTCGGGATAGTTAACAACTCTTTAACCTCTGGCTGTGTCCCCTTCACAATTTAAACAGGCTGTTAACCACCCTCTTTTTCAAAAGCCCAATGCTGGCCCTTCAAAAAGGCCTTTTAGCACTACACTTCTAGGACTGCTGAAGGTAGTCAACTGCTGAAAAACAATTTGGATAGATTCAGTTTGATTCACTCTACTGAAACAGCTGTTTGTAGAGTTTCAAATTATATTTTAAAACATGGAGATGGAGGTGAAGTTCTGATAGGTCTGTCTGCTGCCTCTGACATGGTTGATCTGGGTATTTTCTGAGATAAGGCGGTATCTTCTGCCGCCTTATCTCGGGGTGTTACCTAAAGCTTGGGTAACACCTTTATATTTTATTCTACTTGCACACATCCTCAATAACTTTGAAGACATCTCATACATGCCATTCAAACCCCAGAATGTAAACAAATAAAACCATCTGTTCTTCAGAACAATCAGTTGTCACACACACAAAAACCCCTGACACTCTTATGTGTGCCCCTAACAACATTAACTCTATTAATCTTCAGTACTCCATGAGAGATCCTGGTGTTCCTTTTAGAGGAGGGTTCAGTTTTGATGAGCATGTCTCGTTAAAACTTGTTTTTTTTTTATCATCTGCAGAACATTGCTCTTTAAAAATATACCGTATCTCAGTGTGAAATGGAAATGACTATACACGCTTTTGTGTCATCGCGTCCTCGATCACTCATTATTCATTATTCATTCGCCTGAGTAAATCATCTCTGTGTTGCTTCCAGCAGGTCCAGAATACAAAGATTCTCACCAGGTCCTATAAAAGCCCACATGTGACGCTGATTTTATCCCATTTAGACTTGTTCCACATAAACTTTAAGGTTCAATTTAAGATTTCTGTGATCCTTGGCTATATCCTTCCTGGTGAATTAATACATCTATACATGACTACTGGGTCTCTGAGGTCAGCTGATTAGTGGTTGTTGGTGGTATCTACAGTACAGGTACAAAAGTACAAAAGGAGACTTTGCTTTAAAGTTGTGGCTCCCAAGTTGTGGAACTGGCTTCCAGTGGACTAAGATCTGTGGACACTGTTGATGGCATTAAAAAGGAAACATAAGACCGACCTGCGTAGACTTGCTTTTATTTAGTTTTACCTATTTATTCCATTAATCACTGTATCTTTTTTTTTTTATGGGAAAGCTTACTTACTTTCCCAAAAGCTGGACAACTACACAGTTTGACAGGGGTGTGAGCAGAGTGACATGCAATATTGCTTCATGGTGAAGATTTTTGGGTGATTTCTAGTCTCATGTTGCAGAGGCCACCCTGAAAAATAAAGCTAACACAGCTGGCTGGAAGAAGTGATTCAAATGTGTGTCTAAGTACTTACAACCGTTTACAACCTGATCCCAGAAGAACAATGGTTCTTCATGTGAAGCTAAAGTTTATGATTTTTTTTTATTAAATCTTCAAATTATTTTCTGAATTAATTGATTAATTGTGTAAAAAATGTCCAGCCCAGTTCCCCACTATCTTAAAATGACGTCTTGTTTTGTATGAAAAGCGGTCCATGACCCGAGATATAAACTGTGTTATAACGGAAGACCCAGAAATGCAGCAGATTCCTGCATTTGGCCGATTTTTAACCACGAGCAATGACGCCTAATAAAAGCATATAGGCTACGGGCTGCATGCATGCATTCATACTTGCGGGTGCTGTGATACCAGCTGCAGCTGATGCCAACCCTTGACAAGACTTTTATCACCGTTCCCCAGGAGCAATGAACCCAGTGACCCTATTTTACTCTGTCTGCCCCCTGATTTTCTATAGATTTTTTGACGTGCGCCATAATCTACATAATAATAGTGAGTAATCGTGTGGATTAGACGCTTTTTAGGACTCCCTAGCCAAGAAATAATAGGTCATATGCAAAAACGTTTTAAATAACTTCTATATGTAATTTGTCTATTTATTTATTTGAAAAAAAAATCCCGTTTTTATTCCTACTCCACCATTGATTGAATGCGGTTTCTTGTTGCTATGCAGGTCTGCGGGACTCTGCCTCCTGCGCTTCCCCCTATAAGCAAGCTGGAGCGGCTGTAAAAAACAATGAATAAATAAATAAAACATTTAAAAATCTTTTTGTCCGACTTATATGGTTTAAGACAACTTTACTTATATTTTACCGGCAGCACAGGGCGAGAACGAGCAAACAAAAAGATTATCTCTTCCCGTCCTGATGGCCGTTTTTCATTAATGAGGCACGGGCGCTGTCCTGCTCTTCCCCGCACGGTGGAGCCCTTGAGCTGAGTTGCTGATGGGGTTCCCCGTTAATATCTTCCTCATCCCTTCCCTCTGCTTTTTCTTCTCCGCCTGTTTGCCTCCCCCTCTCCTGCTCACAAGAGTACAGTAACACACCAGTCCTGTCGTAGTGGCAGCAGCCGACACAAGCGTGTCCGGTCTCTCCTCGTAGCTCCAGTTTCTGCTGCATATAAACTAGCCATTTATCATCAGTCATGGCCGCCGGAGTACAAATTTAACTCCCGTCTTTCCTCCCTGTGGTTCGGAGGGGAGGCTTTTTTCTTTCTTTTTGTTGGTGTTTGTTTCAGGAAGCAAGAGGGGGGAAAACATAGAAATATTAGTGCCACACACTGATTTGGATATCCTCTCGGAATTACAATACATCTCACAAGGGAAATACCATTCATGTCAATACTTCAACATGCAGCCGCCGCCGAGGAAGGTGAGTCCGTTATGTTTTTAGTAGGGCTGTGCAGACAATGACAGGCAGATAACAGTGTTGTAAGCTCACGGTTGAACAGCCACGACAAAAAGCTTCCGGTAAAAATAAATAAATAAATACAAAAAAATAAATAAATAAAGGCTAAATTAAAGGGGAGGTCGGAAAGACCCTCGCTAGCCAACATTAGCAAGGACGGCTAGCTGGGTTAGTTGTGAACGTTATTAATGTGCATCTGTCCAGCCGCTGCAGCAGCGTGACCCTCACACGTCAAATAACGTTAGCTAGAAAGCGCTAGGTGGGCTACCGTGAGGCACAAAGCACGACTAAACGGGATTCAGGGGGAGAGACGTGGAGCAGGAATAGGAATAACTTCAAATATGAGCAGTGTTTTTAGCGTTGTGGCCAGTGAGGTGGTTGTTTTTGTTAAAATGTGGACGCTGTGGAAATATGACAACAACCCGCAACCCCCCCTCCACTCCACTCTACTCCACTCTCCTGCCCCAGACAGCACAACAAAAGATTTCGTCTTTTGTGATGATGTCTCAGAGAAAGACCTTCATCAGTCCGTGCAGGGGTCACTGAAGGCAGAGCTGACAAAAAGCCGAGCATACCGAGGAAGGCGTGCAGCCAGAGCCACGCTGACTTACTGATTCTGTATGGGCTGAGAAAGGACGCCTAAAGCGTGCTGTGCAGCGTGTGTGTGTATGTGTGTATACACATGAGGGTGTGATGAAGTTTCTGGTCCACTGCTTTCTGTCTGTGTGTGTGTGTCCTCCTGAAATAGATGCACAAGAGCCAATTTCCCCACTGTGAAGCTCCGCATCAGATTTCTCTTAATTACCACGTATTCCCTCTGTGCCACTTACACCCTGCGTTTACGTTTACACACACACACACACACACACACACACACACACACACACACACACACACATACTGTGGCCTCGGACATGCCATATCATGCCTTTAAACCACACACTTGTGCAGGTCTTCGCCTGACTGAGGCTGTACACACTGCTTTCCTGAACCTCCTGTTAAAATTTTTCCAGAATAAAAGCATAATTTACAAATAAATGAATAAAAAATACTCGTGAGTTACCCACTGGCAATAGCACCGCTACCCTCAGTGTGCACTCAGCCCACAGCATCTCTGCTAGACTGTTGGATGCTAATAATTTCTCTCCCAGTGCGGCACATACAGCCCCTTAAGTGTTCTGTCTGTGTCTCAGCACATCTGCTAACAAACATGGAGTCATTTCGGCTCTCTTTTATTCGCCTTATGTGGCTTAAATTAAAGAGGCCTGACAAAGGCAATGCAGTGTCTGCCTATCTAGCTTTAAATCCATAGGTTCGAGAGTGGATGTGGACGCTGAGGAAGTCTCTCTGTTTTGTGGATTTAAAGAATTGGTTAGAACAAGGGAAAATTTAGCTGAGCCTGTGAAATTTCAGGCTACACAAGTGTTTTGCAGATGCTTGATTTTGGGGTGAACTTGAACTCTTTAAATTGACATTAACTGCATCAATGCTTGGCATTGAATCTTAAGTTTAATTAGTGAAAGCATCTTTGCATCTTTAGACTGGATACATATCAGACAGGGAGGGAGTATGTGTGTATTGGTATACATGCTTCATTACTGGGGTGAATCTGACATCCTCACATGTGCTTGAAGGTATGTTTGATTTGGCGGAGATCCTATGCCGGATGCCCTTCCTGACACAACCCTCCCCTTTTATCTTCTGCCTTATTTTAAGGCAGAAGGAAATAGGAAGACCACCGAGAAGGTTAATGGTTGTAGTGGAGGGGGATGCAGCCAAAAGACAAACAATTTAAACTCCTCTTGATATTGTTATCTCACAGTCGGGGATGTTTACGCCATATCTCTTCCTCTTTCCATTTTTGTTATTCATAATTTTCACATTTGCCCTTATTTGACATCTTCTTTTTCATTTTGTAACCCCCGCCCCATCTCTCTATCTCTCTGTCACCATTCCCCTCCTCTCGCCATCCTCTGGGGTTGCCACTGAGTGATAGAAGGTGAAATCAAGTGAAGAAATTTTGCCCTGATTGTAATGAACCACTCCCTCCTTATCTTCAAAGGCACAGCACATGAAAGAAAGGAGCTGTGCTGTGTTTGTGTGTTGGTGTGTGTGCCAGTGTAGTGTGTGTGGCATGTTGTTGATTGTTTTGTCTAGAACAGTCGTGAATTTGCCCACTGTTACTCTGGTGAATAGCCGATGGAATTCACCCGACAATGCACAATGACCTTCACAGCGACTCTGTTGGCAGGAGATGTGTGTGTTTGTGTCTGTGTGCATGTCTCTTTTAGCATAAGATGTGTGAAGGAGCCTGGCCACTAAATTGAATTTGATGCACACAGCATCTTTACTAAACACTGCGGTTATGGGGGATGTTAAGAGTATTCTCAGTCACCTCTAACTGGAAAAAATCCCCATACCTGCCTCACTGAAGGTCTCACAAAACCCTGACGCCGACTTTTACATTGATGGGTCATGAGTGGGAGTGTATACAGTATATGTATGTGCTACTTACAGGTTACTTTAGAGTAGGACAGTTGATGGGCAGCTAGAGAATATAGTGCTTTTCAGTATACATCATTTTGAAATCAGTGTCACTCATATTTATTTTTGGCTTCATGGCTTAGATTCAACAAGGTGCTGGAAACATTCCTCAGAGATTTTGGTCCACATGACATGACAGTGTCACACAGTTGCTGCAAAGTTGTCAGCTGCACATCCACCACATCCCAAAGGTTCTCTATTGGATTGAAATCTGGTGACTATGGACGGCATTCGAGTACAGTGAACTCATTGTTATGTTCAAGAAGGCAGATTGAGATGATTTGAGCTTGTGACATGGTGTGTTAGCCTACTTGAAACAGCTGTTAGACGATTGGTACACTGGTCATAAAGGGATGGACTTGGTCAGCAACAATACTCAGGTTTGCAGTGCTTCTTTAAACAATTCTCATTTTGTACTAAGGGGCCAAAAATGTGCCAAGAAAATATCCTCCACACCATTAGACCACCAGCCTGAACTCCTTATACAAGGCAAGATGGATATATGCTTTCATGTTGTTTGTGAGGGAACAGTTTTTCCAACCTTCTGTTGTTGAACTTTGGTGAGCCTGCGCAAAATGTATCCCCAGTTTTCTGTTCATAGCTGACAGGAGTGGCACCTGCTGTGGTCAAGGTTGTTGCTTGTTCACAGATGCTCTTCTGCAGACCTTGGTTTTAACGAGTGGTTATTTGAGTTACAGCTGGAAGCTGTCTTGTTATTCTCCTCTGACCTCTGCCATCAACAAGGCAGACCGTTCTCTGTAAACCATAGAGAGGGTTGTTTGGGAAAATCCCAGCAGGTCAGCAGTTTCTGAAACACTTAGACTAACCTGTCCGGCACCAAAAGGATCTTTATTCCCCATTCTGCTGCTTGGTTTGAACGTCAGCTGGTCGTCTTGACCATGTATGCTTGTCTAAATGCACTGAGTTGCTGATGTGATCGACTAGATATTTGCAGTAACAAGCAACTGACCAGGTTTGCCCAATGAGGTGGCTGGTAAGGGCATATTTGTCCAGTTGTCCAAACAATTCTTAGTTTTTTGATTGAAACAAGTTACGTTAAAAAATCACAAATTTTTAAAAGCAAATCTTTCTTTCTTTAAACAGTTTAATAGATCAGGAGATTATCTAAAAACACAAAATGAAATGCGCTCATGTTAAAAGATGTTTCTGTATTCAGTCTGTTACTTTGGGCAATTTCATGCAGCATTTAATCTAACGAAGGGTCAATGAGATGGAAATATTATGGATTGATATGGATCATTTATTGTTAACGTGCATTTATAACTTACAGCCAGGTAGAAGCTTTCGTCATTCAATGAACCCTTTTACAACCAGGAAAAGACGGCCATTTATGTCCTCTGCATTGGCCAAAATCACATCTAGGTTAATATGTAGTAGGGCTGCTCGATTATGGCAAAAATGATAATCACGATTATTTTCACTGAAATTGAGATCTTGATTATTTGACGATATTTATTTAACCCTTTAAGACCTACCATAGAACCAAGTCCACCAAAGCTTATATTATTTTTTTACATGCTGTAGTGCCATTTGTGGGAGCATTTCAAGTTGCTATACATCAATACAACTGTTATAGCCCATATTTTAATAATATGTATGCATTAAGTCCATAGTAATTACATAAATTGCAAAAAAGTGCAATAAACTACAAAAAAAATTGAAAATCGCTTTTGTTTTGTTTACATATATTTCTACTTGGAGAAATTTAAGAGGTTTATCCCTCAAAACTTTAAATACAATAAAGTTGCAAAAAATTGTTTCCCACCACAGGAAATTTATTTTGAGTGTCTTCATAGTTTTATTTTGGAGATACAGCAATTTTTATATACTGCAGGAAAAACAAAAAACAATCCTATGATGCAAATTTGCAAAGAAAACAGCAGGTGCATCATTTCACTGTGGGAAGTGTTACGAACAGCTGATCGGATCGGCAAAGCGTGTTTCTGGAATATTATGTTTTTGTTCCTGCAAGCGCTTTTTATGCAATATTTGCAAAGCTATATGTGGAAGGAAACCGTGACCGAGGACAAGCTGATGGCATCAGATGTAAGTACAACTCCTCGGGTTTCATATGCAAAACAAATTATTGCGCTAGCTTACACGGTTCAGGTTCTACAGGGATTTAAAAATAGTTACGCAAAACGGAGCGTGCTGCTCTGACCGGCTTTAAAGGGTTAACAATGACTTTAAAAAATAATATAAAATAGTGTGCAACACCACTGAAGTTTTTTTTTTTAAACTCTCTTTTCAACCAACGGCAGTCACTCTCCAAATAACTTCTGCTTAGCTTTCCGAGCTTCCCTCGGGTCCTCTTAATCAGCAGTCCCCAACCTTTTTTGCGCCACGGACGGTTTATGCCCGACAATATTTTCACGGACCGGCCTTTAAGGTGTTGCGGATAAATGAGGGAGGGGCTAATAATCGGCTCAGTCATTTTTAATGATCGTTGAAAGCCCAGATCGTAATCGTGATTAAAATTCGATTAATTGAGCAGCCCTAATATGTAGTTACTGTTTTAATATATTGATATGTGAGGACTGATGATTTGTTGAAAGTTGGGCTTCATAGAGATCAATAACATGTCTGTGGAGCTGATGGATGAATAAATAACACATTTAATAACATGTCTTTTTGTTTCATCCAGGTCAAAGTGACACAGGAGCTGAAAAACACTCACACAGAGCAGATGACAAGACTGCACTTTAAACACCAGACCGAATGTGACCTGCTTGAGGACATGAGGTATGAACACGTTTCCGAGTCACATAGTTGTCTGTAGCATGAAGCAAGTGCGCTTAACAAATGGCAGATGACTTGAAATCTAGTCGTCGCTGCACAGCACGCTCACACGGACACAGCCGGAGAAAAGGAAAAAGGAGTGAGGGAGAAGAGAAAGAGGACGTGGACGTGGACTGTCATATTCCAGTTTTTTGACAAGCAGAGAGGGTCAGGAGGATGACAAAGGAATTTCCTGCAGCCCGCTTCCTGCTTTCCAAGTGTTTCTTTCTTTTTTCTTTCTCACTTTCACCTTTTCCATATTCTCTCTGCAAAAACTCTCTGCAGTCCCTTCCCTCACTTTAATTTCTCTCTGTCGCTTTTCCTCCGATTATCATTTTGTCTGTCTCCATATATCCTCTTCAACTTAGCTCAGCTCTGTTTACTCGTGACATATGTGAGCTGGCAGTTTTCCCTTTTTGGATTAGGGAATAGGAGGAAGCCCTGGCTCCTTCACGTGCTCTCGTTTTCTGTGTTGACTAAGCATTGATTATTTATGACAGCGAACTCTCATACTCTCTGTGTCTGTGCTCCCATCCCGGTCTTTTGCTCTGTTTCTCATTTTCACACTTTCTCTGCCTGTTTTCTCTCCGAGACCTCCCTCCCCCCCTCTTTCCCTCCCTTTTTTCTCCCTCTTTCACTCTTGGGGGCAGCTCCAGCTGTTTGAGAACAGATTGGCTTGTTGCTGCTGGGTTTTGGAAAGCGAACAAGGCTCTGGTCTCACTTGTGGGAGCGCTGGAGAGCCAGTTAAGCATATGCAACCACGATGTGTTAGTTGTTTCAGTCGGTGAGGGATGAAGGTATGTGCCACTGGGTAAAAGGTTCCCAAATTGGCTTTGTCATCCTCGTCACTGAAAGATGCTGCCTGCAGTGTTTTCTCTCCATGTTGCTCTAGCCTTTAATGTTTTGTAATTATTTTTGATGACACATTCTCATGGTGGCAAAATCAGGAGCAGTGGGGTGGTGCAATGATTAGGGAAATTGGCTTGCGATTGGGAGTCCTGGGCTTAAGCCCCTGCAGCCACATGCATCTGCTTAGTCGATGTGTCCTTGAGCGAACCACTGTGGTCCCAGTCTTTTGGCTTTAGCCGATTTTGAAAGATTATTATAAAAGAGCAGAAGGGCTATCTGAATTTCACACCAGCAGCACAGTGTGATGAAGGTATCCATTTCGTCAACCGACTTCAGCTCCCATTATGTTTGTCCGAACCAGCAGCCTAGTACCACAGGTGCTGAAAGGACAGCAGTTGGCTAAATTGCGAGTTGTCTTCTGACAGGACTGAATCGCTCTATAGAGAAAATGTTTTTCAAGAAATAGTTTATGTGAAAGCGGAAATTGTTTATTTCTGTTATGCTTTTGCATCTTCTGGGTTGAAACCAATCATTAGAGCTGACATGTTCTGTCTGATATTGTTTGTTTCACGTTGGATGACGACACTGCACGCACACCACCTCTCGTTGAGTAAATTAATAAAAACTTAATATAAACTCATTTGAAAAATAAAATAAATACATCCAAGTACCTTAATGAAGCATTTAGACAAACAACTTCATACAGCCTGTAAATGAACAAAAAAGTTAGGAATAACATATGCAGGGTGGCTAATATTACCTAGTATGGGGTCTGGGTCCAAATGCTATCCTGTAATTGAAGAGTTGGCATCCTTTACTATCAAAAGAGACATTTTCAAGCAATTTTTAATCTGAAAATTTGTGGTGGGGCTGCAAAACATATTTGAGCCTTATAATGAAGGTAACACAGCCTTTTAAATATGAATTAGCCTGTCAACATTACTAATAGGGTGTAAATAATTAATCCTTTAACACAAGTAATGGCTTTTTAGTGGGCTGCAGTTGCATTTTTGTTACAATATCATGTTTTTGTTACAAAACTCTGGAATGAAGTTTGTTTAAATTGTTTCCTTTTTTCAATCAGTTTTTTATTACAAAGAAAAAGGATCATTTGTGAAGCAGAGGAAGAGTATATCTTTTTGTATTTACTTTGCAAAGAGTAGTTATGAAGCTTTGCAGGCCACTGTGTTCCTGTGCAGATTAAATTAAAATTAGCCTACTTTGAGAAGAGCTGTAACATCCAAAGCCTAATAGCTTTGAAGATATTAAAAAAAAAAGATCAGGTTCAATTTTATTTTGTCTAAAGTCCAGCTGCAAATTAAGTAGTACCAGTAAGCCAGCAGTGTTGGTGGTAAATGCAATTAGGTTCGTCCATGGACCGTTTATGTGTATATATCCATCCTAAGGTTCAGCAAAGTAAGCTATGATGCAGGTTATTTAAGCATAAAAAGGACTATATAGGCAGCACATTTATACAAATGGAAAAAGGAGCTGCATGTCTCTCTGGAGCTGCAGTTTGAGACTGCTGCACTAGTTAATACTAGTTAATAGAGAAAAAAGAAAAAGACTTAATGCAATAAATTGAAAACAGCTTCTTTTCCTTAACTTTACGGAATTTTAATTGCGTTGTTTTGTTGCATTTCAAGAAAGTGTATGAACAGTCTCATCCTATGAAGCCTTAGAAAACCAGAGAATAACATCTGTGCTTATCCTTTTTGACTCTTTAACCTCTTTGACTTGCTTTCAGTCTCATCAACATGATTTCAATAATCTCCACTGTTTCTTTGAGGAATGACCCAGCCTTTAAGCATCACTGTAACAGAGAATAGTGTTATAATCTTTTTTCCTGTTCACTTTTTACCTGAGAGATCTGTAAACATTACAGCTCTCACCAGGCTTCCAGGCAAAGCTCCATATGGCTCATCAGCATAAGCAACGCTGGGCACATGGCTCATTAACATATTATTACATATGCATATTACAAAAAGATATTCTTCAGCCTATATTTACACACATCCGTGTGACAATAAATGTGCTTTTGGCAAATGATCTAACAGAACAGACCCTCAGTTAGACTGTATTTCAAGGCAAATGTGCTTTTCTGTTGTTGCTTAAATCTGACATCTTTTCTTTGGTTGTAGCTATGAACCATTGACTGATTTTCACATGCTGGTTTTTCCTTTTAATTTATTTGATTCTTTATCTAAGATTAATAATATTTCTCCCTGATTGTATGTATTTGTGAGACAAGAGTTAATTCTGATGTGGTGACCGCCAAAGGGTTGTTTGCGATGCCCAACTCTAACACGCCAACCATTGTACTATAATACACAAAGTCTCACTCTGTTTGTTTTCCTGGAAACTCCTCCTAGATGATCACAAGTTGTGGTGTACTCGTACAGGCCCCTGATGGTTCTTATATCAGGTGTTATGAGATAATCGTGTTGCCTAGCCAGTGAGTTTATGCACACCTGTAATACCTTGTAAAAGGAGTGCAATTTTAATATCACAACAGTAACTTCTCAGTTAAAGTCACAAAACTTTTTCGTGATGTTTTGTGATGCTTTTATGTTGCCCAGCAACCACCTAACAATGACACAAAAAAGGTCAGTGCAGTTTCATACTTTAGACATCTGTTTCTCCAATTAATAGATCAGTATTATAACTGTCAACACATTTGCTAAATACGTTCTCGATATAATTTCTGCAGTTATTATTTTCTGCTTAACTCTATTTTTTACTTAAAAAAAAACCCAAATCAAATACCAAAGCAGCTGTTTGCAGCTTTCAGGACTACAGATTCTTTTTTTGGGCGGTGGCAGGACATCCCACACTCAGAGCAATCCTTGGGATGCACTCAAAGATCTTGAGTGATTCCCAAGGGAAGAAGCAGGTAGGAACATGCCCCATATCCACACTGGGACAGAATGCAGACTTAATATCTACAGTTGATGCTTGCAAACAGTCACTAGACTACAGTAGAAAGCTAATCAATTGACGAACATGCTTTGTGCTGTCCTTGTAAAAGTGCATGCGTGACCTCTGGAAACTGACTCTGATTCAGCTAGTCCTTTCCTGAGATGGTGTCACCATGACTAGTTATGACTAAATAGTTTCCATATACAGTATTTTTAAAAGATGGACCCTACAGGAGAGCAATGACAAAAACATTCATGGTTGACAGACACATTTCTAGTATGAAGCACACATTAGGTTTTAACACTTAAATCCCAAAAGCAGCTCTGAGGTTATTTACCCTAATTAATCCACAGACTGGCTTTAATCAAAGCGCTCAGTCACACACATGCACACGCATATACAAGTTTATATCTACTGTGTCTCCTGCCTGTGTGTCAGCTGTACAAGGTATGAGAGGAATGATAACGGGAAAAAATGGAGGAAAGATGAAAGAGAAAGGACTGTGTATTTCATCCTCTGGGAGTGCATTTCAGCTAGTCTAGTCTTAGGAAGGACAAGAGAACGGGAGAGAGGAGAAAATGATGATGAGTTGGTGGATTCAGGGAGTCAACTTGGTGTCCTCAATCCAGCTAAATCCCCTATACCCTTATGTCTGCCTTAATAGCTACAAACGCATCATCCTGCGCTGACCATAGAAATACTCTCATACAGTGTGCTGTGCTCATTATCATTTGGCCATGCATTAGCTATTGTCTGTTAGTTTAGATCAGTGAACAATGTGCTATATATACTTTACTGTGCAGCTTCATTTTGCTGTAAGGTAACTCTTTGACAGGCTGTGATGTTGTTTAGAACAAATGCAGAATGTTGCAGACAGAGTGCCCTGTGGAGACTTTATAAAGAGCAGTATTAATTGTGGAGATGTTGCGACATTAATGATAAAATAAATGATAAAAATAGCAGCCTGGAAGCTGATGCTCGGACTAGATTGCTGGACTGGATGTGATTTACCCCCCATGTCTGTCCTTTGCATGATTCACTGGGATAAATGAAATTTGTGTTTCATGCAAATTAATTGACCAAATCCTAGGAATTATCTGCAAATATCATTAAAACCTAATGGCTCTCCTTGCTGAGTAGCTAGATGAAACTGTCTGATTTGAACCCAAAAGTGCCACCAAGAGTTCTCATTAATG